AAAAAAATATGTTAGGAATCTTACTTCCTAACTCCCTGGTTTTTAAAATGGAATTTTAGCCTTAAGATGGAATCCCTCCTGTTCTTACTATACTATTTATATCACAGCACTTTTCATCATAGGCAGGAATTATTAATCATGATGTTTGTCCCATGTCTTGCCCTACCTCAGTATCTTATTAAACCAGACGTTAAAATACAGAAGTGAAGGAGACACAGAAATCATGTGCTCATCAGAGTGTTTGGAGGGCACGGAAGGGGGCAGGGTGAGTAGCAGCAATGAGTGGCTTGATCTCTCTCTAGGTACTGTTAGGCAGAAGAATAGATAGAAGTGGGGTGGTAAGAGAATAATAAGGCCAGTAAAGTCCACTAGATGGGACTCAAAGAGTTAACCAGTTAAAACCAGAGAGCCAGAAAACACTCACAGAGGTAATGAGTTAATCAGTTGGAGCTCCTAAGGCCAGAAGTAACTTAGAATGTCCAAATATTCCCCTGATAAAGAAAAGTATCTGAATACAGCCCATGTCCTCATTTTGTCAATTAGATCATGTCATTTTAAGATTTACTTTAGCCTGCTAAAAGGCCCAGATTATTCTTTAACTTAACCTATGTGTAGTTTTGTCCTCCTCCAGCCCCTAATCAAGCAATTTGCAGCCTGGGCAGGAGACAAGTATCATGATTACTTTAGCAAATAAGCCCAGCTATAAACAGCATAGTAAAAACAGGAAAGATTCCATCATCTTAAAGCTAAGATTGCATTTTAAAACCCAGGAAGTTAAGAAGTAAGATTCTTAACATATTCTTTAGCAAACAGATGATAACTCAGCCCACCTTGGGGGCAAGGCAGGGGGTCTTGATTGATATGTTCCCAGAGGGAAGCTACTATCCTGGGAAGGAACTGGATCAGTAAATTTGTGTTAATTTTGTAGAATTACCTAAAGAACTGATAATAGAAGAGAAGAGACTTAATGTCTCTTATCTTGAGACCACTTAACAAGTCTACATCCCCTAGTCCTGTGTCATATTCCTGAAAAATCCTTAACTACCTATAAAACCCCAGATCCTAAACTCTTCGGGGTGCCTCTTCTCTGAGGTAGCCCACACTCCCCTTCCTCTGAGTGTGCAACTTTTTGCCTTACATAAACTTCTCACTGCTCAATTTATAATGTTTTGTCTCTGTGCTTTTCCAGTGGTAAGTGTCTTTGTCACTTTACTATTTCATTCTGATCCTCCAGACTCAAGCTCAAATCTTCACTCTCTCTGTCATATTTCAGAGAAGTAGGGAGGGGCTGCTGAGAGCTCAGATCTGGGCTTGCCAATTACCATCCCCTGGGAGACCCAGACAGAACTGCAGCTTACCGTCATGATCTTTAGTAGCCTGCCTGGGAAGTCTCCTTTTTTTTTGCCTCTAGGAAGTTCACAGAACATAAATCTCACTTTATCCAGAGCTCTGTGGCTCCCCCAAATTCTGGGGTAGTAGGGACTCAGTTCCCACGCTGTGAAGATCCAAGTGGACACTGGACACCAGGTGACACTGGCTTAAGGAGTTAGCAGGGGATGTGCCCCATGCAAAGTAGAAGTTCAGTGAACTTCCTTTATCACTGTTCTGTCATTCCCTGACACTCTTGCTTTAATGAATTCCTTCCTCACCTTGTACTGACTTCCCTGCGTCTCTGAAATGAATTCCTCCCAGCAGTACTGGAAGAAAAGCTATTCCCCTACTAGCTCGCTCCACCGTGCTTTAAATGCCCAAGACCTCTACAGGTCCTCCAGGAGAACTTCTGACTGCAAGGACTCATTTGCCAACCAGGTACTGTCACATTTCTTGCCTTCAAGTCTCATAACTTATGGGATGCCACAAAGCCTGTACCGTTTTTTCCGACGCTTTGCAGTCTGCTCCTCTGCAGTGGTTTTATTCCTTTCCAGTCTCTTCTGAAACTCTGCATCCAATTTTTGCTAAAAAAAAAAAAAAAGTACATCATTTAGCTATACTCTGGGCTAAGCACGAGAGCTCTGGAAGTCACACCACTGGGGGTGCTGTCGGCACATCTAGGTCTCCAGGGCCACTTTAACTCTAAGAGATTGCCCTACAGGTGGGGCAGGAAATCAATATATGGCTCTCTGCCAACAAAGTAACTTTCAGCTCTTTAAGATACCATTCATGCACAACAAAATCTAAGCAAGAGAAAATATGACAGGAAGCCATGGTGTATTCCTTGAGGAAAGAGGCTGCATGATTGGCTTTTCAGCCAGGACCCTGGACAGTGTGATACTGTGACTTATGAGAAACATATATTTGGTCTTCATCCATTGTCTGGCACATAGTTCCTAAAACTCTTACAAATTTCCTATATAAGAGCCACAGGCCACCTTTTACTGTATTTAGATTTGGTCCCAGTTCCTGAAATAGCTCGAGATAAAGGTGAAATGGGTGTTTTCTGTTACTCATAACAAGCCCCTTCCAACCACTGGAAATTATGTTAATCCCTATCTTTTGGAAAGGCACTAAGGAAAGGGCAGGTAACCAGAGGAACTTTCAGCCCCACTTCCTGACCTGGAGGTTGAACTAATCACCAAGGCAAATGATTTAATCAGTCATGCCTTTGTAGTGAAGGCTCCAAAACACCCAAATGGATGGGGTTTGTACAGCATTTGTGTTGTGAACATGTGGAGGTGCTGGAAGAGAGGATGGCAGCTCTGTGCCCCTTGTTCCATCCGGCTATTCCTGAGTTAGATGCTTTAATAATACACTGGAAATCTAGTAAGATGTTTTCCTGAGTTCTGGAAGCCCTATTAAACAAATTAACTGAAGCCAAGGAGGGAGTCATGGGAAACTACTGATTTATATTCAGTATATCAGAAGTGCAGGTGACAACCTGGACTTGCCCCTGGCCTTTGAAGTGGTGGTGGCGGTGGGGGCAATCTTGCAGGACTGAGCACTTTACCTGCAAATCTGAGGTTATCTCCAGGTAGATAGTGTCAGAATTGAGTTAAATTATAAGACTCTCAGCTGGTGTCACAGAATTGCCTGGGGAGGGGAAAATCCCCACACATCTGATAACCAGAAGTATCAGGAGAGTAGCAGAGTACTGAAAGTACAGGAGACAGGCACGAGTGTTTTTTCTTTATAGACAGTGACCTGAGCTCATCAGACAAAACGTGGAATTTTCAAGTCTTAACTAGTCACAGTTATCAAATGACTGATTCTAATCAACCACCATCTGCTACTACATACATATATGTGCATGTAGTAAGTATACACACAGACATACCTAAATCCATCCCTTGTATTATTTTTTCCTAACAGCAACCTGTTTTTAAGCTTCAGTTCCCTCATCTATAAAATGGGGGAAATAATTCTCCCACCCAGAGACTTCAAGAGTAAGGAAATGTGATAACCTATAAGAAAGCACTTGTATACTAAAGACACTGACCAACTGAAAGTGTCATCTCTATTTCTCTGGTCATAGCCATTAAGGTCAATGGGGCAAAAGGGAGGCAGCAGAGAAGGAAGGGCCATGTGGACCTGTTTAGAGTGGCACTGAACTCCTTGAGGGCAGAAATTATGAAATATAAAAGAAGGGTCTCCTTTTAAGAAGGACATCAGCTTTAATTAGAGGATGACTAGAAAACAAATAACTGAAAGCTAAAAGCATGTGGTCTGCTCAGAGGCTGAGCTACTAACATCTCACTCTGTGCTGCTGAAGCAGGTGAATTTACCAAGTGAAAAAGGAGAGCACTTGCTGGCTGCTGAGTCTGGCTACCGAGCCTGCCTGCCGCAAGGCCTCGGGCAGGAGTAAGTCAGGGTTGCTCTGAACTCCTACCAGTCACTGTGAAAGGTAAGGACTCTCCTGCCTCTTTTTAATTTCTAACCTCAAAGCCTGTCTTTCACCATGTGAAATAAAAATCTTTATCTGTATGCACTCAAGGTTTGTGAACATTTTATTTCCTCTGGGTGTTTATTCACTACGTAAAAACTCGGACTAAAGGATGGTATTTGAGACAACAGCCTGCTGTATTTCCTGCCCCCCCAAATAGTTTAAAAATAAAAAAGGGCTTCCAAGAGTTCTGTTTATTCCTGACAGTGGCAAACCCACCGCAGTAGCTGGCATAGCAGTGTGACAAGCCGTCTGGAGTTTCCCACTAGAACTGCGAATCACAGCCAGAGAGTGGCGGTGCCTGGAGAAGAACCACCAAGGTCCGGGAGCCGGCTGAGAGGCTGAAGGCCTGGCACACACCACGCGAAAACCATCACGGCAACGATGCCACTTTGTTTCAAAATCATAAAGATATTTTTCAAATGCAATTTTGGCCATTCCAGTAAATCTTTACATGTTTTCATCTGTATCTTGCCTGGCCCTTTGGTTTAATATTTTCCAGAGCATTTTATGTTGAAGAAGTTCAAACACAGAAAAACTGAAAGAATTATATGGTGCACATACCCACTACTTAGTCTACGACTGACATTTTGCTACTTGCTTTATCATGTATCTATCCACCTATCTTTACCTCTCTCCACTCCTCAGTCCACTTTATTTTATTTTTTTGATGTGTTTCAAAGTAAGTTACAGACATGAGGACATTTTACCTCTAAAGATTTAAGCAAGCCTATCATTAAATAGAGTTTAATATTTATTATTTTTCTATTCTATTTTCCATTTAAAATAATAAATACAAAAAAATATCGAAATCTTGGGTGTACAATCTGACCACAGCAGAAAATTCTCTTAATACCTCTTCCCGGTCAACCTCTCATCCAACTTCCAGTGACAACAATTGTTCTGATTTTTTTCCACAGAGGTTAACTTTTCCTTTTGCAGAACTTCATATAAATGGATTCATACAATATGGACGCTTTTGAGCAAGGCTTCTTTCACTCAGCATAATGTTTTTAAAAATCATTCAGGTAGTTCCATATACTGGTAGTTTGTTCCTTTTCATTGCTAAGTACTATTATTTCTATGTTGTTTGTTTTAATTTTAAAAAGAATTTTATTTCCTTAATATCAGAAATTCTACTGTGAGTCTATGTTTTTTAAAACCAAATTATTGGAAAATCAAATGCTACTGGGTAAAGTGGTTTTTGTCTTTCACAAAAACCAGACAAATAAAAATCATTTTTAAGTATCTGAATCTCTCTAAAATGCATAAATGTATTCCAAGAAATCACAGGCACCATGGCTAAGACCGAGGAAAAAGACATTTCCAGGGCATGTTGTAAGATTAAGTACAAAGGCCAATCTCTTTATGCAGTGTTAGAAGGACAAATCATATTTGGCTAATCACAAAGAATTAGCCAGATAATATTTGACTTTTGTTACTAGCAAGGTGGGCAGATACAGGGCACTAACAAAGGTATTTTTTTTCCGATTCTCACTAATGCCAGTAATAAAATCTAAAGGACCAGCTAGTTACCACTGCAATAAAAAAGCTTAAAATATCTTTGAACAAACATGACAAAATATGTGCAAAATCCCCATTAATCTTCAGAGATACAAAAACATTTAAACAACAAAAAAATGGACAAAGTTTTTAGAGGGGATGCCTAAACACTGTAACATCCACTTTCATTCAAGTTAAAGATTCAGCTCAATTCTAGTAAAAAATCCAAAATTCTGGTGTGGATAAAATAACTCCAAAATTCGACATGAAGAACAAAACAAGAGAAATGTCCAAAGAGTACTTTTTAAGAACAGGTGAGAGGTTTCTGGCCCTTCCAGTCAAGTAATAGAAAACTTAGTAGTTCTTACAGTACAAATTCTTCTAAAGCAATTCTTAATTCTTAGTTATTATTTGACACCTGTCATGAAGAAATGCCAGCCTCAAAGCTAGAAAACTCAGAGCAGCAGACACATGAAAGCATGTACTGTTCACATCACAGAGCTGACAGGAATCACAGGCATTCAGCCAAAGAGAGAGAGAATAATAGAGAAATGATTTAACTCAAGTGGTGTGAGAGATCCTGCCTTCTATTACATTCTATGGCAAATGGCTTGGAGGAGAGAGGGAACGCTGCTGTGTACTTCCACACACATGAAAGACTCCCACTCCATGAGTATCTTACCTAGGAGTAACCTGGACTTAACTTGATGTCCATTTCCCTGCTGACTTTAGAAAGCAGCCTTCACACAAGCAACAACCAGGTACACATACTTTTTCATCAAGTGCTTTTTTCTTTAAGTTAGTAAGTACACATTGACCCAGGGTTCAGACAGCCTTCTCACTCACTGACCTTCTCAGCCATGGCATCCATGTAGTCCTGTCGCTGGTACTCTCTCCGGCGCAGATGCCTATACACGTGGAATTCTCCGCTGCCAGCCCCAGCGCTTGAACCTATAGCCAGGACAGTCCAGATTCTTGATGAAATCCAGTTATCAACATAGGCTACTCTTAACCAGAAGGCCCTAAAGAAAGAAACTGGAAGTAATGGTACAGACCTATTCCTCACTGTACCCTAGAATCTAGCACAGTGCCTGGCATAATATAGGCATCATTAAACACTTGAAGCACAAACGTTTAATGTGAAATCACTAAAAATTCCACTCTAACAACAGTATTGAGGCAGAACAGACTGAAGTTCAGTGACCAGAAATCTAGAATAGGTCTATGTATGACCTCTCTTTCCTCTACCAGATGATTTCACGTCCATGATGTATTAAGTGAAAAAAGTAGGTTTCCATAAAGTATGTGTAGAACAGCCATATTTTTGTCAAAACATTTTTTTAATTTAAGCTAAGTGCTTTTGACTTACACAGAGGTTTGGAAGGCTGTATCAGAATGTTATAAGTAGAATGATGGAATTACAAGTAGTTCAAACTTTTTTATACCTCAATTATTTATTTTTCTTTAGCATCAGTATATGTTAATTTACAACCCTACAAAGTAATGAAACTATTTCCATTTGGAAAAAAAGCAATGATGCATTATTTAAAATAATTCAGGAGAAAATTCCCAAATGCCAAACCATAAACAACAATACCCCTTATTTTAAGAGCAAAATTACTGGACCAGTAAATATTATTTTCTCCTATTATAAGTCTAATTAACAAATACTAACTGCAGAATTTTTATATCTACACTTCAATAATTATATTTACATACACACACACACACACACACACACACACACACACACACAAGACATTATTACCCATTACATCTCGGACAAATTCTGGGGGAGGTCGAGGTGCCCATTCACTCATTTTTTCTGGAATTGGAACTGCTTTGTCCTGCAACATTTAAACGGGAAGACATTTGTAAGTACTGACCTGCTGACAAAGCAACATCTTCTAAAACGAAAGCATTCTGAGTAGAGTAGGTAATTAAGGCTGCTTTGCTCCTTGCACCCAAAGTTGATTTTACCTTCTTCCCTTTGTCTTAGCTTTACTTCTTCCTTTATACTTTGGGGTCTATCACAGCCCACAGCCTTGCAGGGGCTACACTTAACTTTCCAGGGCAGAACACAGAAACGAAAGACACCATTTATGGCTGGAAACCTCCTACTTTAACCCTACTAAACGGAGAGTCAGCCCTTTCTAGTCAAAGGTTTGAGAGACCTTCTCATCTAATTATTTTTATTAATAAAGGGACCGAGGTCCAGACCGAAGTGGTGATTTGCCCCAGGTGTCCCGGCCAATGCCTCTCTAACAATCGTGCGGTTTAGAAGGAAATACACCTTGTGCTAACCCACGGATTCTATCTTTCCAGTCTAACGCTTCTGTTCACAGAACAAACTGTAAAGGGTCTTAGAGCACTGGACGCCGACTCCAAGGCGCTCTCATTCAGGCTGGGCACACAGGACGCTCACTATCTCCGGGGCTGCCTACTCCTTCCTAACGACTGGCCTTCGGGTTCGGGTACTGAGTTCCCGAGTCTGGAGAAAGGGTGGGGAGGCCCGCCGGCCCCCAGAGAAGCGGGAACAGAATGGGGTGGGGCTCGCAAGGGCCGTTCAACTCGCGCCTCGTCTCACCGGGTTCTTCATGAGCCGCTCCAGCTTGAGCTTCTGCTCCTCGGCCGCATTCTTAGGTATGACGAGTGCTTGCGGCTCTTTCTTGGGCCTCGGGGGTCGCACAGCGGATGCTGAGCTCGCCATAACACCGCTTCCCCGGCTAGCGGCGGCTGCGGCGCGCACTTGTGATGACAGAGCCACCCGCCGGGAGCGCAAGCGCAGTCTCTTAGCTGGGCGGGGCTTGGGCGGAGTCGCAAGGCGGAAACAGGCTGCTCAATATTCTGGAGCCGGGGTCGGTGGGTTATTTTGATCAAAGCTGGCTGGCTTAATTTCCTGTTTCTGAACAAATTGGGGCCGGCGAACTCTCACGTGTCTAGGTATGAGGTGGCCCTGCAGGCGCTCGGGTCCGGCCCCTGCTGACCCTCTCCAGGCCCTGTTCGCGCCGTGGTTCCGCTGGCAGCCCTGCCAGTGGTTCTCAGCATCCTCTCCCGCCCCGGGCCTTTGTTCTGGCTGTTTCTTGGGTCTGGTCCACTCCCCTTCACATTTCTGACAATCTGTATGTAAGATAGCACAAACTTGTCAGTATAAGCTCCCTGAGCACTGGGGGCCATATCTCTTTTGTTCACCTCGAATTACTGTGCACCCAGCAAATAGACCTCGGTCGAGTGAATAAGCCTTTCTTAAAGAGAAAGAAAAGTTGCCATGCATCTGGGAGCTAGTCAGGCACTTCTCTAGGCCTTGATATTCTCCTGTTGGGCATAAACAATTTCCAAGGCCATTCTGTGACAGTGATTGAGCAGGGCAGAAGCAATACTCTGTAATCATGTTTGAACTCAGATGAAAACAAGAATATTGCTGGACCCAGAAAAAGACCACATGTTCTCCCCACTCAGGCTAATATGAGTAACTGCTACTTCTCTACAGCATTATCCTCGGTTCACTTTAGGTATTTATTAAGACAACCAAATGTGAAACTGTCCCTGTTTCCTGACTGCATCTAAACCAGAGTAAAAACCCACTAACTTAACCCAAGCTCAAATCCTATAATAAATCCTCTTTTACACTCTCCTGCTTAAGTAGGTGCAGTCTTCCTCCTTGAAAAAGGCAATAAACTCAACCTGTTCAACTACAGGTATGTTTCTAGTGGTCTTCACAGCTGCAGGTTTACTCATTTATCATTTGTTGCCTACAAGAGTCGGAGATCTGCCTTGTTCATTGCTATATTCCCAGTGTCTAGAGCACAGCCTGACTCACGAAAAAGTACTCAATAAACATTTGCTGGATGACTAGGGGATCCTGGGGGCCAGGCACCTCAGATCCCACTGCTGCTGCTCAGCCTGCTCAGCCCAGGATAGTTCGTTCCCCTACTAAGCGCCTGGGGCTAGACAGGCGATCCCTGTGACAGGGTGCTGGGTTAGCATTCTAAGGCTATTCCTGGCTGCCTGATGGTGCGTGGTTTTCCAGGTACCAAGGGTGACGAGTTAGGGGAAGTCCTTAAGTTGCCCAAGTCTGTCAATGGAACCTAGGCAGGGCTTGGCCTAGGTGTGGTCATGGACACATGACTGTACATCACATACCCCAGTTCCCCGGGCACCTCACTTTTTCCCAAACACACTACACACAGAAAAGATTTTAACTGGAGTGCCTTTTCCTCCTTGGAGAACTCCCTGACACCTTTCTTAGCTTGGCTTAAATGCTACTTCCTCTGTGAAGCTTTTTCTGACTGTCCCCCAGCGTCCTCCTCCAGGCAACCAGTTGCTTCCTTCTTGGTGCTTCCATTGCTCTGGGTCCCAATGACTGGCATGTGATAGTTATCACAGCACATTCTCACCATCTGCACTCCAATGGGTGTGAGGGGAGAGTTGGGCATCTGATCCTTGTCTAGAGTAGAGGGGTGCTTGCAGATGAATGAAAGATGCCTGAAAAAATAAAGAATGAATGACTATGTCAGTGAGATGACCAAGTGATAGATGAATGAATGAAAAAGGAAGTTAAGTGAGTGAGTATGAGGAAGCATGCATGAACGTTTAATAAACAAGTGGGTGCTCTCTGAGTGAATGACCATGAGACAGTGACCATGAACTACAGAGCCAGGACGGTAGCCATCTCCCTGGCACCTCTAGCTCCGGATCTGGCACTGAGTTGGTGGTTGGCAGCTGGCTGCCAGGTGGAAGTGAATAAATGAACTGAGCGAATGCGCAAGGGTGGGAGAGAGTTAAGGCATGTGGGTGTGAAGGAGCCTATGGCAACAACTTAACGTGTCTAAGCGGAGCCTAAGTGTGTTGACATGTTTATCATTCTGACTTACAAATAAGAACTAAGGCCTAGAGGGCTGAGTGACTGGCTAGGGTCACATGGACTCAAACCCAGCAGTCTGGCCCTGGGTCTATAAGGGCCTGCATGATCATGACTCATGGACGGATGGACCAAGGCCCCCAGCAGACCGTGGTGGGGTCCTCCATGTGGCACCTTTCTAGGGCTGGGGGTAGATTTGAGGTCTTGCTCCCTGGGAGGAAAGGGCCCCTTCCCTCTCCCAGGCCCCCACCACTAGCTGTCCTGCAAGAGTGGAGACAGGCCCAGAGTGTCACCCTACCTGCCACCAGAGGGCAGCAAAGCTCCACCTAGGTCCACTGCCCAGCCTGTCCCCACCGAAGGCTCAGAACTAGGCACTTGGGGAACGAGGGCTACTCTCCTGGAAAACACCAGGGCTTTGGAGTCTGGCAGACCTGGTACTAAAGCCTATCTCCATCTATTCTGGAGCGTGGGTTGTTGGGAAGGCAACTTAACCTCTGAAAGGCTGTTTCCTTATATGCAAGATGGGAACAAGTGACCCTACCCTCTGGCCTATGGATAAAATGATGTGATGGATGATAAACAGGGCCTGGCACAGCATATGACACTTCACAGTAAGGTGACCAAACTGGGGAGAGCCAGGACGAGGACCTTCATTGCTAAAACCAGGAGTCTTGGGCAAACCAGGGCAACTGGTCACACTGGATGGTGGCGAGAAGGAGGTGGGGGAGGCAGGCATGCCTACCTTAATCTTTTACAGAAAAAAATGCTCACAACTATTCCATAATTTGTTCCTCACTGAGTTAGTGAGTCAATAGTCTCCACAGTGGTCCTGCTGTCAGTCACCAGAAAACAGTGCTATCAATGGGGAAAAAACAAAGATGGAGAAGAGTTTGTCAGTTTCCTATAAAGATAAATATCCATGTGTGCCATACAAACCTGCAACCTTATTCCTATTTACCCTAGGGAAATGAAAACATAATGGCCACTCAAGGACCTGTATATGAATATATAGCAGCTTGATTCATAACTGACCCAAACTGGAACAACCCAAATGCCCATGAAATTGTGATACATCCGTACAGTGAGATAGTCCTCAGCAATAAAAAGGAAGGAACTATTGATATTTGCAACCACATGAATGAATTTCAAAGGCATTATACTTGGTGAATGAAGCCAGATTCAAAAGGCTACAACCTGAATGATTCCATTACTTGATGTTCTGGAAAAGTCAAAATGATAGGGACAGAATACAGATCAGCAATTGTGGGACACCAAAGGATGGAGAGGGGCTTGACTGTAAAGGGCCTGAGTGAATTTTTGGGGTGATAGACTTGTATATCTGAACTGTGATGGTGCTTACGTGAACATACATGTTGGTAAAACTCATTGAACTATACACTTCAAAAGGGAGAATTTAACTGAATGGAAATTATACATCAGTACAACTTGACATAATAAACAAAGGTCGCTTTGCCAGGCTACAGGGAAACCAAAACCCCACTGTCTGGTGGCTTTGGGGAGCATTGCTTATCTTCCCATTGCGCCTCCCTGAGGCAGCTCAGACCCTATAAATCTGTCTGGCCCTCTCCAGCATGGGGCCAAGAGGTGGAGTGGCAGGGACAGGCTTTCTGCAGCCAGAGGCCAATGGTGGCTGAAGCCCCTGTACTTCTGCCTCTGGACCCCACATGCCCACAGGACAGAGTCCTGGCTGCCCTAGCTGAGGTCGGTCAGTATCCACAGGCCAGGGCTATTTCTGAGCCAGGCTGTGTTGAGCAATGCCCCGTATTTAAAGCTGCAGCTGGCATGGCTCCCATCTTCCAGAGCTCCCAGTCTGACTCACTAAAATATCTTCCTATTCTTGAACTTGGGCTCCTAAGTTTGGGGGACTCCATAGTCTGCCTGTTGAAGGACCCAGTAAGGGAGATACATTGCCCTGTTTGGGCTGGCCCATCATCTCTCAGCCCCTGACATGTCCCATACCACCTGGGCCCCACACACCTTTCTTGGGTGGCCTCCCTTGAATATGTGGACCACCCACAATTCCTCTGCTAAGGTCCAAATGTATGGGCAGGTCAAATTCAAAATGCCCCCAGTCCACTGAAAATCAGGGTCTTTTGATATACCAGGCTCTTTGCAGTTGGGTCCTATGCACTATGTCATTTAATTCTCATAAAAAACATTATGAGATAGACATTATTTTAAACCTTTATATCATGAAATAAAACATACAGAGAACTGTACAAAAACAAACATACAGCTCAATGAATGATCACAAAGCAAACAGCCACACAGCCCCATTCTGGTCAAGAAAAAGAACGTGGCCAGCACCCACAGCCCACTCCCCCAAATCACTCCTCTGTCCCTGCACCCCAGAGACAACCACTCTCCTGGCTCCAGTGGTAATTGCCTATAGTGCTTGATTCCATATTCTTACCACCTAACCGTGCATCTTTGAAACTCATTTGGTTCATGCATTTGGAATCCATCAAAATGCATTTCAAATATCTTCCTTCTGCTCTGCAGCTCGCCTGTTGAGGTCTTACTAATATCTGTTGTCAAAAAGAACTTCATTCTAATGTAGTCAAATTTATCACCATTTCCTTTCTTTAGGGCTTTTTGTGTCCTATTTTTAAAAAAATCTTTTCTCATCGCAAGATTATAAAGAAACTCACGTACATTATCTTTTAGACACTCTATTGTCTTGCTTTTCACAGTAAGATCTACAATGTACCTACAATTGCTTTTGGGGTTTGGCATAAAGTAGAGACCTAATTTCATTTTTTCCATGTCAATATCTATCTTCCCAGAACCATTTCTTGAAAAAATTGCCCTTCATCATTGCTTAATTGCTTCACTTAGAATCTTCTCAACCTGATTTTTGTTGCTGCCTCAGGGAGGCGCAATGGGA